TGTGTTCAACCAAGTCTCTGCCTTTCTCATGCTGAACAACCTCCTTGACAGCAACCAGTCTGGTTTCAGATGTGGACATTCAAATGAGACTGCCTTGCTCTCAGTTTTTGAAGCCCTAAGACTGGCAAGAGCGGATTCCAAATCTTCAATACTTATCTTGCTGGATCTGTCCGCTGCTTTTGACACGGTAAATCACCAGATCCTCCTGTCAACCCTATTGGCAAAGGGCATCTCAGGAACTGCACTCCAGTGGTTTGAGTCTTACCTCTCAGATAGGTCCTTCAAGGTATCTTGGAGAGGTGAGGTGTCCAAGTCGCAACATCTAGCTACTGGGGTGCCTCAGGGCTCAGTTCTTGGACCACTTCTCTTCTCGGTCTACATGGCATTACTAGGTTCTGTCATTCAGAAACATGGCTTTTCTTATCACTGCTATGCTGATGACACTCAACTCTACTTCCATCCTGATGATCTGACGATAGCTGCTCGCATCGCAGCTCGGCTAACAGACGTTTTTTGCTTGATGATGGACCATCACCTTTAACTCAACCTTGCCAAGACAGAACTGCTTGTGGTTCCATCAAACCCATCGTTTCATCACAATTTCACCATCCAGTTAGGCACATCAACCAATAACTCCTTCAAAAACAGCTAGAAACCTTTGAGTTATGATTGATGATCAGCTGACTTTCTCAGACCACATTGCTAAAACTGCCCGGTCCTGCAGATTTGCTTTATACAACATTAGGAAGATCAGGCCCTTTCTTTCAGAACATGCAATCTATTTCTTTTTTTGGTAACACTTTAGAATAGGGAACACTTACTCACTAACTACGATTTTTCCCTCAAATTCCTAATTTGCTGCTTATTAACAGTAAGGTAGTTGTTAAGTTTAGGTATTGGGTAGGATTAGGGTTGTAGAATAAGGCATTAAAATGTGCTTAATTATTACTAATAAATGGCTAATATTGTAGTAATATGCATGCTAATAAGCAACTAGTTAAGAGACCCTAAAAAAGTGTTACCCCTTTTTTTTTTATTTTTTTTTTTATTTTATTTTTTTTTGACTGCTGTTTTGAGCATCACTGTTTTAAATTCAGACTATTAGATTACGTAATTAGTCTCAGTTGTGTTTTTCCCTCAGCATTTAGATCTTTATTTATTATACAATTAATTAAGAAACCCATCTTTTACCCATCTCTTTTAGAGAACTACAGACCGGTTTCCCTTCCTTTCATTGCAGAAACACTTGAACAAGCTGTGTTCAACCAAGTCTCTGCCTTTCTCACACAGAACAACCTCCTGGACAGCAACCAATCTGGCTTCAGAAGTGGACATTCGACCGAGACTGCCTTGCTTTCAGTTGTTGAAGCCCTAAGACTGGCAAGTCCAGCCTGGATAGAACAAGAGCTTGAACATTGCAATGCTCTCTTGGCAGGTCTTCCAGCCACTTCTATCAAACCTCTACAATTAATCCAGAACGCGGCAGCAAGATTAATCTTTAATGAGCCGAAAAGAACGCACGTCACACCTCTGTTTATCAGTTTGCACTGGCTACCAATAGCTGCTCGCATTAATGTTTGCCTACAAAACCACCACTGGCTCTGCACCCCTTTACCTGAATTCATTACTTCAGATTTATGTGCCTCTAGAAGCTTGCGTTCTGCAAGTGAACGTCGCTTTATTGTTCATCCTGCAGAGGCACAAAATCACTTTCACGGACTTTGAAATTAACTGTTCCCTCCTGGTGGAATGACATGCCCAACTCAATCCGAGCAGCTGAGTCCTTAACCATCTTCAAGAATCGGCTAAAAAAACATCTCTTTCATCTTTATTTGACCCTCTAACTCTAGCACTCTATTCTAATAATATTCTTAAAAAAGAAAAAAAACATGTCCCTTTTAGGCTTTCACTCTATTCATTTACTGCTCGTTTTCTTTATTAAAAAAAACAAAACAACACTAGCTTCCCTAATCTTTTTGTATTCTATCTATTTGTTTTCTCTTTATTTATTATACAATTAACAAAAGCAAAAAAGGTCTCTAACATTAGCTTGCTGTATTCTTTTTTTCTATTCTGTTTTTTTTTTATTATATAATAAAAAGAAAACTTGCTGTGTGTACTGCGTTAAGCTAACTGAGACTTGTTATAGCATTTGCATATCATTGCTCTTTTGTTGATTTTGATTGTTTCCTTTGTCCTCATTTGTAAGTCGCTTTGGATAAAAGTGTCTGCTAAATGTAATGTAAATGTAATTAGGATAGTTTTGCAGCATTTGTTGGGGCTACACTTTATGAACGTTCATTACAAGACCTATAACTATAGATTTTAGTCAAAAGTAGCTATATTTAATTTCTGAAAGGAAAGAAAACGAGGCTGTTAGGCATTTAAGTACAGTGGGTTTAATGGACTGTACTTGTTTATCGAACGTTTAGCTATCAAAACTTATGAAAAAAAAAAAACTTTAAATAAATCTACTACACGAAACGGGTTTTAAAATTGTGAAAAGTTCTAGGACCTTAATACAGTGCGTGCCATTGTAAAGATTTAAGTCTGTCCCCCAAAGCCTTGATTTCATTACTGTAAAAAAATTAAAAATGGCGTCTAACCTGAGTAAGCGTCCACACCAACGGTCGAAAACGTTCTGTGCGTTATAAGCGCGTGCAGCAGTTTTGTCTAGCGCTGAAAACGCTTCAACCGCTGGTGGATTCTGATTGGCTGTCAACGTCTTTATCGTGCAGTAATTAAAAACATTAAGTCACTGGAACAATATCGTTTCTCTGTGACGCTATCGTTATAGGTGGTGCGGACTTCACTATATTATCAAAATGGTATCGTTATAGATGGTGTGAATGAATAACTCTTGTTGATTGCAAATAATTGCACATACTGGAAAATGCTAAAGACTTACATTACCAATCCATGAATGATATTTTAGAGAAAGATTTGAACATGTTTATTCAGAGCAGAGCTGGGAATTCAAGTGCACCAACATCTGAGAACAACAGACACATGAAGAAGTGCATCTGTCAATTTAGTAGCTGAACAAAACCTTTTGTGGATAAACAAAACAGCACAGTATTTACAGTAATAATGAAAGAACATATACAAAAATAAGTTCTGTTAGAATGTGCTGATGGTTTGCAAAATACTTGATTGGTATTAAATAAAATGTTCACAATTGACTTTAGTCTAATGTCATTCTTACAAAAAAGCCTATTTTTACAACCATATTGCAATTCTCAATTAGGATTTAGAAAATAGTCACTAATTCAATTTTCATTGAAAAATATGCAATTTATGGCAGTACAAGTAAAAAAGGTTTTTTTTGAGTTGACATTTTGAGATTCACTCATTTACACAAAAAAAGTGGCATGAAAGACATTATCAGATTTAGTGTCGACTTTTCTCTTTACTGAAGCAAAAAAATAAAAATAAAACTGAAATCACACTGACGTGATGTAGTTTGTTTTAGTCAGCAAAAATAAAAACATTTTCACAAAAATACATTCAAATAATTAAAATGGCCTTTCCAAAACTGAAACCAATCAAACATTTACAGGGAAAAGTTCAGTTCAAAAATCTAATGAGGAAAGATATAAAATTACAAAATGTCCCTGTTGCAGTGTGTGGCTCTCACACTTCGCTTCGATGAACCCCCGTGTCCCTGTTCTTGTGGCTTTGGTTCAGACCGTGCTGGTTTGGCAGTAGTCCTGCTGAAGGTCCCACTCCTTCAGACCCCAAACCCAGAGATAAACCACTTCAGACCTGAACTGATGATCAAATCAAAACGCTTCATAGTTCACAAAAACACAAACCTGTCTTCATTTGCCCTCCGAGACGTCTTCCCGCTGCTCAGCAGCCAAGTGCTTTTGTTCTGACGAGAAAACAGATCAAATAAATCCCTGTTTTTACCAGTCCAGCAATAGAAGAACCTGAGAATAACATGTCACCTCTCGCCTGCCGTAGTTTGTTCCTCTCGGCCTCTCGCTCTTCTCTGGTCTGGTTACTCTTCACACCCAGAGCCCCGATCACCAGGCGGCGTGCCAGAGCCGCACTCGTCTGAGGACGCTCTTTAGCCGGCAGCAGGTAATCTACACAGAGACAATCAGGTTTGATTTATGAATTAATTTGTGATGGATGCACAAAACAGGCTCAGAATAGTTCAGGCATAAGTGAATAAGAGAGAGCAGGTGTACCGGAGCAGCTGCGTGCTTTGGCTTTAGTGGCGTTTGATGATTTGGAGAGAGGCCTGACCTTCATCATGGGGTTCTTCATCCTCAGAGCATCACGAGCTACACAAACACACACGTGTATATACAAGAAATGGACAAGGTTTCTCATTTTGGGGGCTTATCGTTTCTATTTAGTCATTTAGCAGATGCTTTTATCCAAAGCGACTTACAGATACATCAATGTTATATTATATATAATTATATTAATGTAACTTATCAATGTTTTGAATGTGTAACGCGAATAAAGAATAAGCTGGATGAGTTTTATATAAACATACATTAGCTAGCAATCAATTCACTTGAAAAACAACCAAAAATTATAACCAAAAATTGCTGTATTAGATAAACATTTGAAAAAGTGCCATTTCTACTCTTCAAACTCTTTGGTTTCTTTTTCACAGATCTTCTTCAGACAATTTCAGGTCCTCAAACACATCACAGAAGTTAATACCGTCATGCTGTTTTCCTCCAGGTCCACCAGCGATTGACTCCAGAGATCTTATAGGCATCATAAAGCCATTCACAGCTTCTGGAGAACACACTGACCTGCGATGGGACTGGAGAACAAACCCAGGGCATGAGTGTCGTCAATCCACTTGATGTCAAACCCCTTTTGCCTGAAAAACACACATATGATCAATAACACCAGGGGCTCCCAAACATTTTGTCAGCCAAAACCCTTATATACAGTACGTATATATATATATATATATGTGTGTGTGTGTATATATATATATAATACATTAAATACATAAAAATGTACTTGAAGCCCTCCAGAGATTTTAAGTTAATATTTCAATAATTTAATGACACTGGCATTTTATGGTTCTCAGATGTCAGTTAACGGTTACATGACATGCAAGTAAACATAACATTTTTAATCTTTTTTTAGTTTAGTGTTTTAGTTTGCAATATATATATATATTGCTACCAGTTACAATACAAATATTTATACCTTAAATTCTTAACTTTCAGTGTTTAAGCTTTTATTTTGGCAGTTTTCTCAAAAATAAGCAATACTATGAATAGAAGACTATAAATTTTAGTCAGAAGCAATGGTTCAAAGTTAAAAACATATTAATGATGGATTTGTTTCTTACAAACACACAGCTTTTTTACATAGTAAAAGTAATGCTAAATTTCTCCAAATTTGTTCTGATGAAGAAACAAACTCATCTATTCTACATCTTGATGAGTAAACTTTCAGCAAATTAAATTGTTTGGTGAACTATCCCTTTAATTTAATTACAGCCTTTGATTTGACAACACATGTTGCTATTTCAGATTTAGTTTGATTTATTTATTTTAATGTTGATTTGATTTAATCAGTTATTATCTTTTCATCAACCCTCTGTTTTTGAAAGCCGAGCTGTAGATGTTATGAAATCATTGTGATTCATGAGCGGAGCTTGACGCACTGGAACGAGCTGAAGGATCTGATCAAGTCCTCCGTCTTGAACTCAGACGGGAAGTGGTAAATCTCCACGATGTGTGACAGCTCATCTTCCCGAAGCTCCACCTCCTCCTCCGGCGTCCAATTATAGTAGTCGAAGCGTGGCTCCTGTATAGACGGCTTCTTGCGGCCCTCCTTAAGAGACATCTGAAACAGGAAGAAGAAGAATCAAACCTGAGCACAAACCCCGGCTAATGCATCTCAGTTCATTATATCATCATTAAAGGAATAGTTCACCCAAAAATGAAAATGCTGTCATTAATTACTCACCCTCACATCGTTCCAAACCCGTAAGACCTTCGTTCATCTTCGGAACATAAATTAAGATATTTTTGATTAAATCTGAGAGCTTTCTGACCCTCGATAGACAGCAACACAACTGACACATTCAAGGCCCAGAAAGGTAGTAAGGACATCGTTAAAATAGTTCTTATGTCCTTACTAGCTTTCTGGGCATTGAATGTGTCAGTTGTGTTGCTGTCTATGCAGGGTCAGAAAGCTTTTCATCAAAAATATGATGCGATTTCAAGTTTTCCTTTCTCTTTGGAGTGTTACAAGCTGATTGTGCATAGATAAGATCCCTGAAGGTTCTGATGATAAACAGAGGTCTTACGGGTTTGGAACGACATGAGGGTGAGTAATTAATGACAGAATAGTCATTTTTGAGTGAACTATCCCTTTAAAGGTGCAAGTCACTCAAAAATCAGTGGAAGGATCGAATCGTCTTTGTAACGCTTACCTCCTCCATTAAATGTGGGTCAAGACAGTCACCATCATCATTAAAGAAAGAATCCCAGTTCTCCCCTTCATCCTCCTCTTTTGGCACCCCATCATGTTCTAGTGCACTACCCGTGTCCTCTGGTGTGTTTATAGTTCTGGATACATTGTCCGTATCATCTCTAGACTCCTCCTCTTTAACTGTGTGCATGTTTAGGTTTTCTTTATCTCCCTCCTCCCACCCCCCGTCATCCGGTTTTACCTCTCCGTTTGGGGTCTCTGTCGCTTTGGCTTTGTCCTTCTTGTTCTTGTGGGCCTTGTCGGTGTACCGGGACCTGGGTCTGGATTTCTTGTCACCGCCTGCCTGAGGCTTCTCCATCTTCTCGGCCTGGCGTTTCTTGGGCACGTAGATTTCCATGGCGGGTTTTTTCGTTCGGGGTGGAGCCGCAGTTTTGGACCCCTTTTCTGGCTGAGCTGCTTCAGTCTCCATAGGGATCTGTGTAAGAAAGTGTGTCAATGAGTGTAAAGAGGACAAAAGCTGTTTTTAGAGTAGCATATCAGCACACTGTTAGAGGGATCCATGTAAATGTAAAATACCTGCATGTATATAATGTAACTTAATTGGCCAAAACTTGCTCTTTTATTCCCAGCGTGTTACACAGACAAGAAATAATATAAGATGTGATTTTACAACATTCGTGTATGACTTCTTATTTAAATTCGTCGTTTTCATTATTTATAACTGACATTTCTAAACGAGGTTGGATGAGCAATGCAAAATCATTTTAACTTACAAGATAACAAATCAAATGACAACAATGCAAGATATTTTTTAAATAGTAAGCGTTCATAACATAAACACAAATCTACTGACCGTGACACCAGCATTGAGAAGCCCGAATTATCTTTTCAAAACAACTAATATGTACTGATAGTAACATCAAAATATTCCAGGACAGTATGTTGACATTTGTAGAGGAAATTATTCGCAGTTTACTTCTACTTACATCTCTGTATGTTTCAGTTCGCCGAAACGTTGAAACCATGACCCGGATGTTTGGAGACGTACGGACGCCATGACGTCACGGTCGGGAAGTCTATTTTGGGAGTTGTAGTTTATTATTATACTATGAGTGTAGTTTAGAAGCGACATCTATCCAAAGCGATGCGTAATAAATGTTTTATCAACTGCCAAATAAGTTTTGTATCAATAACAAAATTAAGGAAGTGTCTTTCAAAATACTTCATAGAATTTATCCTGCTAAGGAAAGATTTAAGCTTAATATTTCGTATACTTGTGAATTTTGTGGTCAAGAAAAAGAAACTATTTTGCATCTTTTTTTTTCCATTGTATTTACTCATGATTATTTTGGAAGGATTTGGAATTCTATATTAACAGAAAAATGGAGTGTATGATAGAAATGTGTATATCTGATGTACTTTTTTTATACAGAAAAGGAACTTTTGAAATGTAAAGAACAACATATACATTTGTTTATTTTGTTAGGAAAATTCCATATACATAAGAAGAAGTGGGCTCAATGTAGACCAAATTTTTCACATTTTATAAATGACTTTAAATTATATGTAAATCTCTTGGAACAAACAAAAAACAAAAAAGCACTGAAGACATGTAATGCTCTGAAAGCATTGAAATCTATGTAATTTTCTTCCTTTCTTTTTTCTCTTTTCTTTTTTCTCTGGCAGCTAATGTTATTTTGATCATGTGAATATGTAATACCTCATGTTCTTGTGGCAATGAATAAATAAAGCATTAAAAAAAGTTTTATCATTTTATTATTCAACTGCGAAAAGAATTACATTAATCACTAAAAATCATTGCCAAGTATGATAAGCTATCAGTACTTGTGATACGTTTTTCAGCAACAAATGCTACTGTACAATTATGCACAATTAATATTACAATTATAAACAATACAAGCAAACATGATTATATTTGGTCAATTAAAATGATTTTAAGTTTAATGAGTAAAACAAGTATTTGTTTGGGTTTGTTAGGGACGTAACACATCTGCATGCTGATTCCCGCGTCGTTAACGCCCTCTTTTCACTTGCAGGCTTGTGATTGGTCGGACCGACACAGTATTTAAAATACTCGACAGTGATTGGACAGTCGCTTACACAAGCGCTTGTGTAGGGCGGCTGCATTGAAGTTGTGTAAGGAGCAAATATACACCGTAGAAAACGGAAATCACACATCATTTTCCAAGCTTTTGAGACAAGCCACGTATTGGAAACTCTGAGCGCGTGAGTATCCACTATAATCCAGCCCAGTCAGCACGACAGGTGGATTTGACACATTATTATTTACTTGCAAAGCTAAAATAACAGTTCTCTCTATTGAGGTGATGGTGACTTACAAATGCATGAACAATACTGTCCTATCATGTCGCTTTGGTTTGCTTAGATCTGCTCTGAATGTCTCTTTCATTTGTTTTCTGTAACGCAAAACAACATATTTGTTCTGTTTTGCATCCTTGCCAACCTTTTCTTTCTTTCAGTTGAATTTAAATATAATTGCATGATCTTATTTATGTTTTCATATCCATATGCTGTGTAAGCAATGTCATAAATGCTTTTCACATTAGATTTAATCGCATGATTATGAAGCTAAAATGTGAATACTGTTTGATTGACAGGTGGAGATGAGGATGTGGTGGGCGTGTCTTCTCGGTTTGGCTCTGTCAGCTCTCTCTCAAGCTCAGCCCATGTTCTCCGTCACCACGGATACGGTTCTGCCTCCTGATGCTCTTCACAACCCCACCCAGCGGAATTATGGGATGGCAGTGACGGATGTGGATGGAGACGGGGATCTGGAGGTGGTGGTGGCCGGGTAAAGAAACTCCAGCATAACCTGATTTCTCAGTGATTATTAAATAAAATAGGCAGATTCATATACATTATTATTTATTGTTGTCTTATTTAAATGTTTCTGTTCTCATGTCAGATATGTATATATGTATGTATGTATGTATGCATGTATGTACCAAGAGCTTCTTAAAAAAACAACAAATTTTGGCAATCCAACAAACATTACTTTTGGTTTCTCTGACCTGTGTACTTATTGACGTTGACTTGTGGTGCAACATCAGTAATGTGAATGAAGTTTGCAATTGTTAAATATTTTAGTATATATTTTATGTGTGTGTGTGTGTATATATATATATATATATATATATAT